GTGTACATTGCTGTTGTTTGTTATTAGCTGGTCAATATAGTTCATTTGTCGTCGAAGGAATTTATTTTCACGGGTTAATAACAAACAATAACAATACACATTTTGTGTTGTATGTACAATAATATTTTGAGTAAAATTTGAAAAATCATACAAGTTATGCTGTTAATTATTCGATGTTTAATTTCTCTCTCTATCGTTTGTTTTCGCCATCACTTGTTGTAGACAACATTGTTTACTATACAAATTTATTTATGATCGTTAATCGTAAATCAGTTCTTAAAAAAAAAAAATTCAGGTTGACGCGCAACGTTTAGGAATTTGGTAGCGTAAATGGAAAAAATGTATTTTTAGAACACTTATAAAAATATTCTAAGCAAATTTATAAATGTTTTTACTTGTTCATTGGTAAGCAGGTCTTATTCTTAACCTAGTTTAGAAAGAGTTGGAACCAATTAAGAACTCCGATGGACCATTTCAACGTAAATAACTAATCGCTATATTTTTCAAAGCAAGTTTATTGATATTGTTTTCGTAATTTAAGTTAAATTATACGAACCAAGGGAAATCAATTAACTAAGGTTTCAATTCTCTTTTCTACTAATAAACTGCGAAAAGTTACATTATATATACATATATTCCTTCCTGTCCGATGAATTAGTTCTTTATAGAAAAGCAAAAAATTATCGTCGTTTAATACATTAAAAAAAAATAAGGAAAGAGCATCAATCAAATTTATGATACAATATATGTATAAGAATATTCCAATAGATAATGTCAAAATAAACAAAAAAAAGATGGAACATATATCTTATGTTGTTAGCTGAATGCAGATGCTAGCAGACAATTGAACACTGCGGGGCCTTTAGTGATTGTGTGTACAGATGGTAATGGAATCACTCTCTTATCTAAAACAAAAGAGAAAAGGAAAAAAGGAAGAGAAACAAAAAAGATTGCTTCCTTAGTAATGCTAATGGAAAATATTTTCAGCCTCCAAATTCTATCTAGAAAGTAGAAACTAATCCTTGAATGCAAATGATATATTGTTTGAAGAAAATGATTCAACTATACTTACATTCTACACAAACTAAAAAAAAACTAAAAAAAATTGGCAACACAAAACTATATAGAATAATTTTTTTTGTTATA